TAGGATGAAATTCAAAAAATACTTTGTTGTCTCTCGCAAACTGAGACACACTGAGAAGTTTTCTGCTTATCTTGGGCACATGTAAGAGATTTTTGAGAATAAATATCTTTGAATGACCAGGATGATGAATAAAGGAATTACCAAAGTGAGAGATGTTGACACCTTCTCCATTTCCCATCAGCAGCTTGCTTCCTCCATTATATTCTGATGAGATGTTCAGATTTTCTAGTTCATTTGTGACATGATTTGAGGCCCCTGAATCAGGGTACCAGTTTGTCTCAGACCCTGTATCAGAGTATGTGTTGTTGGGATTCATTTGAACCATGTTCAAGCTAGGATTTCTTCTTGGGGTCTGATGTCCTTGATTTGCTCCTTGCTGATTTGGTGGAGTGTCATATCTGTACCAGCACTTATCAGCAGTGTGGTTCAAGCCATGGCAGATTTGACACTGAGGTCTATTGCTTTGATTTCTACCTCGGCCTCTGCCCCTAAAAGAGCTTCTTCCTCCTCTTCCTCCTTGGTGTGCATTTTTGTTCCCTCTGAACTGGCTAAAGTTTTGGTTAAAACCCCTTTGATTTGGGTCACCACATTTGCATAAGGTTGAGACCCTTCTGAGTTCACAATGGCTCCTTGATTCATTTCAAGCCTGGACTCATAGGTGAGAAGGAGAGCATGAACCTCAGGTAATGTGTGAGGTGGATATCTTGAGGTGACATTCACAACTACTGAATCATATTTAGCACCCAAACCAGTAAGAATGTGGAGAATTTGGTTCTGTTCAGTGACTCTTTCTCCTGCTATGGCTAGGGTGTCACAATGGTTCTTGATCTTGTTAAGATATTCCCTTATGGTAAGACCAGCCTTTTTTAGGGTTTGAAGTTTCAGCTTATATTGCATTATCCTAGTAGAGGACTGACCAGCAAAGTTGGTTTCAATGGCTTCCCATATTTCTTGTGCAGTGTTTAAGCCAACCATCATAACAAGAATCCCTTCACTCAGTGAGGACATTAACCAAGAGGCTAAGAGTTGGTCTTGTCTTACCCAAAAAAGGTAATCTGGGTTGATTTGAGAAGTCCCATTTTATGGACCTGAGATGAGCTTGTTTGGTTTCTTGGTGTCACCATTAATGTAGCCCTCTACTCCATATCCTCGTATTGCTGTAATGACCTGCTGCTTCCAAATCAAAAAATTGGTTTCATCCAGTTTAGTGGATATCAACTGACTATTGGGTTGAATGAGAGAACCCATTGCCGTTGTATTGGAATTTGGCCCAGCCATCAAGCTTGAAGAACTGCTCGATTGACTCATGGTGAAAGAAAAAGAAAAATAAAAGAAAAGAAGAGAAAATGATAATCAGAAGCAGGATCTACCTGCTCTGATACCATAATGAAAATACATAATGAGATCAATCATGTTAAACAAGCAAGAACAAGAAATGCAGAGCATATTGAGCCGCCACTATTCACGTGAATGTTTCTTCTTAGGTTTTTTACATCTGGTAACTAGCAAATATATATAAGTACATGAATGATAGATAAAGTGGACAAGTGTCCAAAGAATTTCTTAATCCTACGGCTATCAATACTCCAAACTAAGAGTTCCTGCACTCTTGCCAGCTTTCATCAAAAGCAATGTTTTTTTGTCTGCATGTCCATGCTGGTGAGTCTTGGCTGCATACGTGTAGTTGACCAGCTTGCTTCTGAATTTCCCATATTGCTAACATGGAAGACTCGAATCCTTCAACAAATTCAAAATCCCAGAGCTAATGACGACAACTACATACTCAATAATGATGATGCGAAAAAGTCTTGGACCTTCCAAATGTGTTTGAAGTTTGTCTCTCTATTAAACTAATCATCTAAATATAAGTTGTACTAACGATATATACATGTGTATCCATGTATAACACAATCACTAGTATAACACCCATGTATTACATGGGTGGGGACGGTGTCTCATCCCGTCATAAAAGTGGAATTGGTATGCGGACAAGTCAAATCCAAGATCGTTCCGGACCGCGTCCACCCCTACCATAAATAATCAACATATTTATAGATAATCCAAACTTATCCAAGCCTAATAACGAAGCATGTAATTTTGCCACATAGGATCACGAAGTATGCGAGTCTGCCACATTGGCTCAACACGTTCTCAATTAATATATAGGGGGGATTTCTGTTACCTACGACTCAACTTCAATTTTAGTCAGGAAATTGTGATGTCCGCTCAGATTTCATTGTCGACGAATAAATGGTTATTAAATATTAAAATTAAGAATGTTTCATGGTTGAATGATGGTTATGTCCAATATCGTATATATTGAGATGGATGCTGGGTTGCTCTTCTGGTTCTCATTTTTCGAACTTAGATTTATTTAGTCATCGGCTAAATTCAGGGTTCACAGTTTATTTTGTTTGATATGTAAGAGGAGTGAAGCACCAGTTCACCAGAGATGCTAGTCTTGATTAGAAGTAAAACAACATTCGGTAATATTGCTTTTCATCTAACTTCTAAACAAGTGGTTGCTTTGGGCATGTATCCACAAGGACACCTGACAAGCTTTGGGTATCTACTGTTACTGTGTCAAAGGTATGTATATCTCACAATTCTTTAAGCTGATCCAAAATAACCTAAACTATATTATCATAGTTGTTCATTGTGAAGGGAAATGTTGCGCAGCTATGTCCAAGGCAGAAAGGAAAATGGTTTGAATTTATTAATAACAACACATTTTAAATAAAAAATAAAAATGGTCATCAAACAACCAAAATAAAATCTTCCACTTTATACTAAAATCAAATTTATTAATTTTGATAATCTTATACCATAAATTGATTAATTAATTCTAGACACAAGAATTTGTGGAATTTTCAAAAAAGATTATTAAGTTTAGTATTTTAAAAATTTTAGGGGGGACTTTAGTTTTTATTTCAAGTAAAATACAAACTTTTTTTTATATATATAGATGACAGTGCTTTCAAAACAAACGTAGCTAAATATGACATTTTTTTTAAAAAAGAAAAATGGTATATAAGGATATTTTTAACTAACAGTGAGACTAATGTTGATAGACAAATTTAACGGTTACGTAATTGCTCTCTCAACCTATACATATACTTAAATTTAAACGTCTTTACTAAAGAATGACATAAA